CGTGCAGTGCAGCTTGCTCGTGATCATGGTTGGATGTATTTATGGCTAGAGTCTGATTCTCTGCTTGTTATCAAAGCTTTCTATAGTCCTTCTTTAGTACCCTGGTGTCTTAGTGTTCAATGGTTTAACATGTTTAATTCTATTAGGAGTATGAGATTTAGGTTCTCTCATATATATAGGGTGGGAAATGGTTGTGCAGATAGTTTAGCACGATTTGGTCTTAGACATCATGGCTCTTCTTGGTAGACTTCTATTCCCTTTTGTATTCTTACTTCTTATTTTAGGGAAAAGTTTGGTCTTCCACACTTTAGGTTCTCATAGGGTGAGCAATGGATATCTTTTTGTTTTTGTCTTTAATATTTGACTAGTGTTATATAGTCTTTTGGTATGCTGCAGATGATTGTTGTGGGTTGAGGTGCTAAGAATCTCTTCCTCACATTGTGATGCCTTAGCATATCTATCTTTTTTCAAAATATATATATATATATATATATATATAATTAAGCACATATTGTGAGAGGTAAGGAACAGAAAAGGAACAAAGGACCAGCAAATAAATCAGATCATAATTTTTCCCAAGTCCTAAAATAGTCATCTAGTTCCTGAATGGACAAAAGTCTTGTGATCCTTATTAGACATGAGCTGCAGCCTGCAAGCATATAGTTTTGATGGTGGTTTATGACATCCCTCCAAGAAAAATGTTGGAAAATGTTGAAAATACTGACCCTCACTGAGCTTCTATATGCCGCAACACTCCCTTCATAATCTTTGAGTTCGTACTTAACTTCTCCAAGCAGACGAAAAACATCAGCATCATTTGATTTTTCCTTGGAATAAAACCAACAAACTGTTCAGTTATTCAAAGATCAAATAGCTTGATATGCACAACATATTCGTTAAGGAGAGGAATTTTGTGGTCAATAAATATATAGCTACATGGATAGGAGATACCTTCCAATACATATAATATAACTGGAAAATTGCAGGGAATATCTATGGTCAAAACAATACCTTAGTCAAATCATCAAGTAGAGAAGCAGCTCTTGCATATTCCCCTAGTTCAGCCAAAGTTACTGCAGCTCCCTGAAAATCAATTTAAATGTATCTACATTCTACAAACAAAGAAATCAGAATAACAGAACTAGCATCCAAAACTTACTTCAAGAGCAGTTGGATCTCTTGGGGAATTGCTTAATGTTGCTTCAAATTCCTTGAGCCTACTCTGCCATATATCGCAAAGTATATTATAAATGATTCTGAAGTTTAGTCAAAATTTATAGAAAAGAATTTTAAAGGATTACATAAGATGGGAAAGGGTAACGGTGATAAATTTGAAATTGGATGAATAATTTACACATGATGAATGTTAAATACTCCCTAATTTTGCTTGAAACTTAGCTTTTCTCATACCCTTTTATTGATCTTTCAATGGTTTTCTGTTTGATGTTTAATGATTGTGTTCAAAGGTTGCATTATCCAGGTTTAATTTATTGTTTTATTTGTAGAGAAATAAAGGTGAAGAATGGAGATAAACCATCATTTGTTAGGAGCTTGGAAGTGTTAAGAGAGAGCAAACTTGAAAATAGAAGAAAGGAATAGATTCTGTCCAGTGAATGTTTTAATGTGGAACTTCAAAAGTAGTTACTTGGTACAACTGGATACATTCTAAGTAGAAAGTGGAAACATTGGCTTGTGCTGGTCCATTGCATCCTCTCTCTATTAGCTATGGTTTCCTATTTCATTCCCCTTTTTATCCTTTTATACATACACCACCATAGTTACTATCAGGGTCCTATCTCTAGATAAATGGAAATTAGGATCCTAAAATCTGAGACAGCAATTCTTAAACAGAATCGATCACAATAACTACTGTTAATCTTGAAAAACATGTTATAAATTTCATCGTTGTGTTTGTGCATGTGCTTGCATGTGTTTATAGCAGAAGCTATTCAATGGTTACATTACCTGAAACAAAAACTGATTAGCCTTTTAATAGAATATCATGTTACAGTAAACATATTTAAATTCCCACCTTTCCACCAGTCCATGAAAATAAATAATATTAATTCAGAGAACATTTGCCTCACAAGGAAAGAAAGTAAGACTACAAGACTGAAAAATAATTAGGAAGAACATTAGTCCCAGACTGATTGCCAGAAGATAATAATAATTGGGTGGAAATCATACCTGAAGAGTAGCTTTATCCTCCTCGGACAACTTATTATTGACCACAGCACTCTCTTCAGTGGGACTAACACTGCAAGATATCCCAATTTAAACTGTACCCAAAACTAAAGGAAAATTAAATGAACATGATGTGGGAAGATATGAATAGCGTTCATAATCAACAGCAGCACAGAGCATAAACATGACTGTGGTTATTAAATGTGCATCACGCATACCTTCCTGATGGAAGAAAATCTCCAAAAGCAAAAACCAGACCGAAGACTACTACAGCTGCCCCTATTCCAATCTGTATCACGATGGTTACATTTCATGCATGGAGTTTTAATATAATAAAAAATAAATAAATAAAAAAAGAGAGAGAGGCATTTATTTATGTGGTAGAAAGGAACAGTTGTACCTTAGTACCAAAGCCAATTGTCTTATTGTCGGATGAAATGGGTGCATCATAGTCAATTGCTCCAAATTCTTTTTCCTCCTCTGCCTTCTTCTGCTCGAGTGCTGACCTGAGTAGAGTGCAAAAAGAAGAATTGAAGATTGTTGGGTTTTATTTTGATTAGAAAGCAGGAAAAGGTGTACCTTTTGACTGCTTTTAGGCGTTCCTCAAAGTCAACATCCAAAAACTGGTTCCTAGATTTGCCGTCAACTTGTGAACTTAAACGGGGTGCCTCTGCCCATATTATATCATATCATATGAAATGGATTGAATTTGTGAATATGGGTTTGCAGAATTAATTGGACATACTTACGAGAAGATAGAGGGCGAGAGTGTTTAGTTGTTGATCCCTTGTCAGATTTGTTGGTCTGAAATAGAAAGAGAAAGAGAAATGAATAATGAAAATGAATTTGGAGAGCATTAAGAAACGGATACCTAACCAAACCAACCTTAATCCTGTTTTCTCCAAAACCACGGCCTTGCTTTGAATTTGAATCGGAGCAATTTATTTGAAACAAAAACAAAGCGCTGCTCCTGATTGACATTGCATTCCACAGAGTTGGCTTTTTTTTCCCTTTCCTTGCGCAGCAACAGTAGTGATAAGGTTGCGTCACATATCAGTTACTATAATAATAGCCAAGAACAAGGTAAAGAGGACAATTCTTTCATTTTTTGGTAGAGCAGAATGTCAAACCAATTTTTCACCTTCTCATTATATTTAAGATACGTAAATAAATAGACAGGAATGAGTCATGAAAATAACTAGAAAATCATTGTATACTGCAATAAATAAATATATATATATATATATATATATATAGTTTTTAAAAATTTAGATATATTTTTTTTTAATTTAAGACCAATTTAATCAGATAGTCCAGTTAGAGCAAAAATAATAGGAAGTAGAACATAATTCAAGTCTCAAAAGACGATATCGAACCAGAGGAAGTGAGTCGGATCCATTTCAAGGCTCTACTTGTACTTGCTTAGAGTGAGTAATTGTTACATGGGACGGGACAATTCCTCCATCTTTCCATTCGAGGCTGCAAAGAAAGAAGAAAGAATAAATAAAAGTGAATGTTGAATTGAAGTATAACCAAATCATTGAGAGCAATCGTTCAAGGAGAAGCACGATCATGTACCCGTAGCACTCTATTTTTCCTAAACCATGCATTATTTTTCTGTCAATTTTTCAAATTCAAATCTATATAAACACAGATACTAATTCAAAATTACAAAATTCTCTCACATCCTATTTAATAAAATTTTCAATTAATTTTAACTAACAAAAATATATTATTAGCGCTTCTCTCTCACAAATTACTTCATTTACTTTACGTCATGATCAAACTATTACAATAACATATAATTTACTTGTGGAGATAAAAGAGCTTCTATTCAAGTATGCTACTTCCTCGCCTGAATTTTAATATTTTGCGAGAATAGTCTCTAATTCTTGGTATTCTGGAAAAAAAAATGAAATTAACTCTATAAATTAGTTGTTATTTTATATAATAGTTCATATATATTAAAATAAAATAATACAATAGTTAAATATTTTTATATTTGTTTGAAGATTATGTATACTTAATTTTAGATAAATTATACGTTTATAGTTAAATAATGTTATAATCAACATTCAATTATATATATATATATACACTATACTTACTATACGTTTAAATTGAACTTGGTTAATAAAATGATAATAATTTTTAAATTTTGTAAAAAATAAGTGTTTGTTTTATATATTAAATCAGAACTTTCAATTGACCAGTTGAATTAAAAAATATAAGGCAAAGTATAATAAGAATGTAAGTGAAAAGACAGATTTATACAAGAAAGCCGCAGCAGTAAATATTTGAACAGATTGGATTAATGTATGAGTGTCTTGTTCAAATGAGATGATTTTAGAGGGAAAAAACAACTAAAACTACCTTTCATTACATTTTAATTAACAAGAGCACAAGACATGCTAATCCTATACACTTGCAATAGCAAAAACACATGGGATACACAAGGCACGAAGCTTTCAAGAGCATCTTTTGCATAAAGCTATTTCTCTATTCTGGTTGATTATAGAATAAAGGAGATAGAAATGAAACAGACATTTATTTGATTATTTAGATGAGGGAAACTTGAAACATAAAGCAATGGTTGATAGTGCCATAGCAAATCTAGTAACATTCTATATTTATTTATCTTAGTTTCCAATATTTTCAGGCAAAAAAAAATGCATTCTTGTAAACATTAAATCGAATTTACGAACCAACAAGAATAATCCTTGACAACTGTTATATTGGGAGTTACACAACAACTTGGAAACTCACAATTTTGACAGAACAAGAATACATTTTAGATAACATAAAACCATTCTTGCTCTCATTGTCATACAGTATCCAGAATTCTTCCTAAGACATTCTTCTAAACCCATTTGGTGACATCTTCAAAACCAGCCGTTGTATTTGCAATCCAAGGAAAAAGAACTCTAGCAGCTATTTATCAGATATACACCACTGATACTAGCAAGGGAACAGGACAGGACATGGATCCCTCTCTAACCTATTATTTGATAAATCCAGTTTTTTTATCTTTTCTTCACACCAAAAAAGTTGTTCTCTAGTCATCCTCGTCATTCTCAGAACCCTTGATAGAATCTTCAAGTCAATAAGGCCAAGCAAAAGCTGAATGTCCTCATGCTTTTGGGGCCAAGAATTCTTCTTCCAACCTTTTTTCTTTCGGCGCAGTTCCTTCAGCTTCACCACTTTCTGCATTTAGAAGAAAATACAGAAATTTTCTTAGATTCAGGGTAAATATCCACAAAACATTAGATGATCAGCACGCCGCAGGAATATATTATCAAGTTCCTTCATTCACCTATATGTCCTAATTCTATTTCATCAAAAAACAAGAAAAGCATGGAATAAGTTGACTCGCACTTGAATTAAAAGGCAGAAATAGCTTTGAAATCATTATGCTATAAACAATGGTTAACATATTTGCTAATGATATTGGTAACCCATGTTAGTATTTTTTCATTACAAGAAACATATTAAAAACAATTTGTAGAAAACATTGAAAGTCAACCACAGTGTTTCAAGTAGACAATGAGAATTGATGGATAAGATGGAGGGTACCATTCTAAGAATATACCGCTAACTTGTAGCAACTACCTAAGTACCAAGCCTACAACGCTTAAAATTGGGAGGAGGACTGATGGCCACAAGCTAAAATAGTTGTCTATGGGCTTCAAAAGTTTATTAGTACATTATAAAATTGCAAGGTAAAGGTTCTAAATTTACCTTTTCAAGAGTAGAATGAATCTGTTGTAAAGGAGTTGCAAGCTGGTTCTGATTTCCAAACAGGTTGGTAGCACCACTTGATTTTTTCTTGTCTCTTTTCAGGAAAAGGTGGAAAGTAAGGATAGAGCTTTCAATTATCCTGATAAGATCAGGAGCAAGAACTTTCGTCTCTGAATCATCAGTCAATACATGATCTGAACCTGAATAGATTCATAAAATTGAGCACTTTGTCAGACAGTTACAAACATAAAAGCAGAACTACAGTCAGTGACAAACAACCAAGTTTTTCTTAATTATTAACTTCATTGGTACCCATGACACTCCAATTGAATGTAAATGATTTATGTGAAATTACCTCGTATATTAGGAACCTGAAGCAATTTAGGCAAATTGTTTCTTGTGCGAGCATAAATTTCTGCTCGATGACCCTGCTCAAAAGGTTCATTTTCAATAAACCTTTGTAATAGAACCAGGAACTGTTGAAACTCTTGCACACTGTGGTTGTAACAGGTAGGATTATCATGTTGCCATGATATCTTCTGACTCATATGAGAGTACTGACAATGAAGTGCCTCCCATGTCAAGCAAATTTGACCGACATATGCTGTTTCAATATCATGGTAGGGGTCATTCTCAGGCTGTTGAAGATGTTCGGTCTCATCATCAGGTCCTTCAAATTTTTTCAAGGAAAGACAACGAAGGGGAGAAGCTAGCTTCTTTGATGCAGATCTTGGAGATGGTGTTGAAGTGTGCCGTAAACCTGACATAGCGAGGTTGCAGCATAATCACAAGATACGACAAAGACGAAGATAACGGAAAAACTATAACCCGGTCATCATTTTCTTAAACAAAGAACTTGTCGTTATACAATTAAATCAAGCACATTTACCGTTGAATAAAATTCCGTTAACTTTAATTCTATTTGGGTTTATGTTTGCATTGGGAAGAGTAATAAACTGAACTGAATCCAGACAGATTACCAAATCCAAGCTTACAAAAATGTTAGCTTTTCTTTGGTTTAATATTGCATTTTCCCAAAAAGAAATAATAACTATTATTGACCTAGTCACACATCATGTGGCAAGTCCACAGACAAAAACACCTAAATGAACCCAGAGCAAAAACCTAAATTAACATTCCCAACCTTTACTAGTATCTGCATATAAAGCATACAGAAATGGGACCATTGGATGACCAAAAACTATTTGATCATTCTCAATAACCAATATAAATCCCACTCCTAGATACTGTCTGTATTTTTGTTGTTTTCTTGAGTTGCTGGCTCATTTTTACTTCCTCGCTTACCCATCAAAAATCAAAGCAACAATAAAAATCTACCTTTGCCAACTTCACTAAGCTGTTGAGTGCTCATCCGATCAAAGAATAACATTCTTTCACAGTACTTTTCAAACACAGCATCAAAACCACGCCACCATTGCTGACCTTCTGCCTCCACATCCCTCCATTCATTTGAGCTTGTCTCTCCCTCTTCCTCTTCGTCCTCCCCATCCTCTGGGCAGGAATCTTCTTCAGGAATCAACACCATAAAACTGTTTCTTCTCAGTTCTTTCAGCCTCCTCTTTACCTCATTGGTAATAAAATCATCGTCATCCTCAGCTTCACCTGCAGAATCTGCATTTTCTGATTTACACTGATCAGAACCATCTGTGTTCAGCTTTGGCTCCTCAGGCTCTGGGGCTGCCTTGTCTGCCAAATCCTTGTCTCCATCTGCCTTATGAGATTTTCTGAACTTCTTGATTTTCAAAAACTCCATTTTTTACCACCTTACTTTCAAAAACAAACCATTTTTGGCTCAGCCCAATATTTTAAATGTTTTGATCATAATCCATAATCACATCAAAAGAGAATGAGAATACTAAAAAACAGACCAAAGTAATAGTAGCTTTGCTTTTCTTACAATTCACAACAAATCTGTGGGATAATTATACGGAAGAAAAGATTATTAAGCCAAAAGCAGGTGTTAAGGGCGAAGTAGAGCACATAACATGGTGGAAATGACATTCCTTTCAATTCGATTCATATAGATCACGGGAAACGATAAGTGCTAACATCCATTAGAAAACGGAGAAAAGAAAAGATACAAAAGTTGGAAGGCCCATTAAGAAAAAGGTGATAAAAGGAAAGTGTGTCATTATGAAGGGCAGCAAAGGAAGCAAAGATGCAAGATGGTGTGTACCTTTAGAAGGAAACTAGGATGGCATTGAGCATTTACAGAGACTAGCTCCACCGACAAGGCACCGTATCACCTACATTTAACTTGTCAAAAACAGTAGATCACTAAAAGCTCAGATTTTTAGTAACACAGTGATGAGTGATGAAGACTTAGATGCACTCTCACTATAACCATTACCATGCATGCAATGCAGATATGAAAATAGAGAAACTGATCTCGCACTAACCTGAGGAGTTAAGTTGATAAGAAGATGAATGGGAAGCAGAAGCCGAGAGAAAGAGAAACCCTAGCTAGGCATAGAGAGTAGAGAGAACAGAGAAGAAGAGTGAAAATGAAAATAAATGTGTGTGAGAGAGAGAGAGAGAGAGAGAGAAGAGCAGTGTGTTTTGTTTGATTCTCTCTCTCACTTCCCCAAAAAATAAAACAGAGGAATTAATATGTTAAAAGAAAAACTGACAGGATAAATAGAAATAAATGCGTAATTTGCATTAATAAAGAAAAGAAAAATGTGAAGAGAGAGTCTCATATAAAGAAGACAGCATGGTCGTACACAGAATATTGTCAGAAAGACGCGCAAAAGTTGTTTTGATTTGTTTTCCTAAAAAGATACCAAATTTCTGTTTAACGCCTCTATCAATTTCCTTAATGCACTCGTGATCGTGACCCACCAAAATCAATTACTCTTTTTTTTCTGCATTACTTTCGACTAAACAATATGATCCAAAAACTTAATTACAATCAAATTATAAAAATTCTATTTAACTTGAATATGATTATTTATAAAATATTTATCATAAGAAAATTTTAAAAGTCACTAGAACACTATTAATAATATATTTAAATAAATTAATAAGTATTTTAAAAGTCATAAAAGTATTTTTAATTATTTAATTATACATATCTATCAAACCCATGAAATTATATATGTATATTTTTTATTTTTTATGGATAAAAATAGTAGATAGGGTAGAAAACATATATGTATATTGCGTGTGCAAAGGAAAACACAATGCTTGATTTATCCAGAATTTAGATTTCAACTTATTTTCAAAAATAGTAGTATTATATTTGTACATGGAAAAAAGGAGAAAGAAAACAAATCGGGTTGATTAATTTAATGGTTATGATATTTCCGTTATTTTTTTATTATGATTAATTTTTTATTACAAATTTACAATATTTTAATAAATTTAATTTAAATTTAATATTCTAATTATTATAATTAAGTTCTTTGATCACTTTTTATATGCGTATGATTTAATGATTGTTACTAATATCACTATAATAATAAAATTCAATTTGTTTTAAGTTTTATCACAAGTCTATTGTCGTTGATTATAAAGATTTTCCGATGAAAAGAAATAGAAGAGTTTTTTTTTTTTTTTTAAAGAAAAGAAGAAGCCAATAAATACAATTTGTTTATGGTAAAACTTACTATGAGTTTGAGGTACTTTTAACTTCAACAAACAGTTCTACATTCAATAACAGTGCTACATTCAATGTATAAAAACATATAGTTGTCAGGTTGTTAAACACTATTAATAAAAATAGTAATTCTCTATTCTTAAGATTCAATAAGGTTGGGAGACTTTTTGTTCATCATGCTATATCTCTTAATTTACATTTAACTACATCAATATTAGTAGAATGTGTTTTAGATGCACGTGGTTTCAAGTTAATGCAAGATTAAAATAAAAGATTTTGGTTATAATTTTCCTTGTAATAGTTTCCAACAAGGTGATAGTTTTTGGATGTTAAATTAAATATCAATTTGTCATTTATTTATTTTTACATTAGAAACACATTACACCATAGAATTTTCCATAATATTAACAATATGATTCATTACATCAATTTATTGATTTAGTCAAATTTTTCTTTTTCTAATCATGATATTAGTATAAAGTATTCATCAATAAAAATAATAATTAATATTAAAAATTATGAGTAATAATTAATATTAAAAATCACGAATGTACAGTTCTCCTCTCCGTAATTTATTTCATATTTAAAGTTAGAATTCAAACTTTAAATAATTTAATTAAGTGACACATGTTACTACACTTGTGTTAACTAATTTTAGTAGTAAAACTCAATTAATTAATTTAGTTTTAGTGAATTTATTTTGTCTCTCCACTCATATAGGAACCTCCTTTTCAATTTGAGAAATTGTTATTTTAATAATTAGCAACTTAGGTTGTAGTTACTAGTTTCTTATGCAATAAAAAAAATGGTAACAACTTATATACTCTCATACGACATTTTCAAGTTGCTTAAAACTTTAAGCTTTTCACAAAGGGAAAAAAAATGTAAAGTGATGAAAAATATCTAAAACTAAAACCCATTGAAATTGCTTTCCAAGTTATAAGTTAGCAACTCAAAATCTAAAACTTTACAAACCTAATTAGTGAAGTTGAAAGTATTTGGATTATGCTGTCGGTGACCCTGTATAATATTTATAAAATAAATAAATAAATAAATAAAGAACTATATATTAACATTGTTAGTCAAAATTATGTATTTTGTTTTCTCTTCCTTGTCACTTGTCAGTACTGCACTACCAAAAACCACACTTGATTCTTGTTTGTTAGCCTTGATCCACGTTAGTTAGCCTCCAAGAAAGGCACTGCCTTTTTTGTTTATGATTCGGTCGAAATTAAACTTTTTGACCTCCATCATTAGTTTGGTCCTAGAATCAGGCCGTGGCTGTTGCACAGCGATCACACACACACACTCTCAATTTTTAAACTAAGCAAACATTATTATTCATCGTCATCGACAACGATGTTTTTTTTTTTTTTTTTTTTAATTTTATACACTAATTACACCAAAATTCAGACTTAAAAATTCATATATATTATGTCAACTTCCACCACTAACCCAACTTTAATGACTAAGGGCCACAATAAATTTATCAACTTAGTAACCTCAAATAAAAAAAAAATAAAGAGTTTGTAGAAAACTTATATATACCTTACCTACAAAGATGAGCAGGGTAATAATAATAAATTTATATAATATTTTGCTTACAATATCAATGTTTTTTTTTTGGACAACTTTACAATATCAATATTAAAAATACTAGTACCATTATCGAAGTAGTTACATAGAATTGAGTAAGATCAGGGAAAAAACAACATCATTAAAATTAAATTATATTTCATTAGAACGGGTTTAAGTATATTATCGATGATTTTGCGAATAATGTTAATGACAAACATGAGAGCTTAATGTGACAAGGAATCATTAAAAATAAATTTTGTTTACTCCAATGTCCAATCCAATAGCACTAACCACATGAAAATTAACACCCTGCCGTCCAGTCCTTGCATTGCAATTGAAGGAAATTGGTATTTCAGTTTTCAGAGAGAGGGGGTTCATTTTAGTCATACATGAATAAAGGTTTACGGTTCATTAGACAGAGGTGGTTTAATGGAGGCCCTATATGCTAGTAACCTAACCAAGAAGATGGTATTGGCTGAAACCTGGCTTTGGCACATGCCAACATATCATAATAATCTACATGGTTGAAGCAATCACGGAAATCAGTAAACAGCTTCTCAAACACCCTCCATTGGACCTTCGCTGATCTGGTGTAAGGGTATGGAAGAAAAACCTGCTGAA